AAGAGTAATATAAAATTTTAAAAAGTTACATTAGCTCTTTTAGTTCCAGGTCGTTATGCTCATTGTCTGACTTAGCTGATCTAAGCAGTTCCCTCGATTAAGTTTCAAGTTCTGTAGCATTGCCACAGGTCAGTGCACGGAAGTAACTGAGCAAGAATTGATGCGAGACAGAAACGAGGGAGAGATACATTTCAGTTTTTATTTAGGACTGTCGCTTTGCGAAAGTTGGTTAGTAAGAAGGCAGATGCCTCAGTCGAGATTAAAATTGCGACAATTCAAAGGAAAAACTGTTTTTTTATTCGGTGAATAGCTTCTTTATTTGCAGGGAGAAACAACAAATATTGTAATATGCTAATTAGAATTTGAACTAGAAGATTTCTTTATTTCATTTTCTTGTGCTGCAAGCCGACTTCAGGAAACGCAAAACAAATTAGGAAGAAAACTCGATGAAACAACGCCTCGCGTATACAAAAAGTTTTCTTGATCTATGTGAGATCGCGACGAACGAACCGTTCTGTATCCACCACCGTATCCGACGAAAACCTACTGTAGCGTAGAGAAATCCGCTGCATATCAAATACAGTATGCCTGGGTCGAAGAAAGTGATTGATTCTTAATCTTAAAAGCGTTCGATTCTCGAAAACTGGTGTTCTGTAAGTTACATATAGTTATCGAGAAAATATCTCTAATGCTACGATGAGCATCAGGACTATCGTCGCTGTATTCGATTGTGCTTTTGTATGTATAATTTGAATAATTAAATGCTTCCTTTCGCCCAACGTATGAGGAAGAGAAAGCGTCTCGTTATTCTACATGGTGTAAGGATTTTGACAGACACTAACAGAAATAGGTATCGAAATATCGAGAGTAGCGTTGCTGCTGTTATATAATTATTTGGAGAGTTCAAGCATAACTAATTTGGCAAGAAATGATATTCAACTACAGGAGACGACAACAGATGAGTAACTTTCAATGTTAAAATGCATTGCAGACTTGAAAGTCCAAAACAGATCTAGGTCCTTACCGGTTGAATTAAGGTGGATAGAGCTGCGCATCTCTTAGGTGATAGTTCTAGTGTTCGCAAAATATAATGCAAAATAATGTTCTTTCAAAAAATGCCATTGACATGTTGACCCCACAAAGAAGTATAAGATAGTAACCCGATACAATAGCACATCACAGAAAAGAACTTCACCTGAGAATTCGTGAGGTGCGATACTGTATTCACTCAAAAACTCTTACTGTAACGGAATAAACAGTGCCATTTAAAAGCTAGTACGCACGCGTTAAAGAAAGCTGATTATCAGGTATCGTGTGAAAATTAGAAGAATTACTTATTTGTTGCATAAGTACTTGGTCGGCTTATCGATTATTTGCACCTTTTTGAGCCTTATACGCCTGGTCTTAGATTTATGAATGAATTATTCCTATCCTATTCCAGGACAGGCTGCAAAATATATTGTATCAGTCAACATTATGAAAGAGAAATCAACCTACCGGTACATAATTTCTACAGCTTTAGAATTGAAATTACTTGCCACTGCGAACCATTCATTTAATTACGAAGGTTCGTCTGTCCAAGATTCTAAAGTGCCAGTCGGGCGTCTGAAGCGCATATAGCTTCTATGTAACGTACAATTGCACGTAATATTCACAGATCATTTGATATCTTTCAAACTGCTCTAAGCAGCCAACAATAAGTTATGGGTACTGCTGCTTCGATCACCTATCATTCGGTGGCGATGCCAAAAGTAACAAAAAAATGGAAATAGGACCAAATTCGAAAAAACAAGTAGAAGTAGCGCAAGTAAATACACTCAACTACAGGAACAACTCATCACTGAAAGTAGAATAAGACTAGTGGAAAAACACATCCTAAGCCCTGTTATATATCTATTTCTGTTATGTAAGATCGGCAAATATATTTATTCTATCCGATGAGCAAGCAGTATGTCGTCAAAGCATGCCACGACACAGAAAATTTAATGTACAAATTACAAAATTCAAGCAGCTAAATGATTTCACATTATCTTCTACAGCATCGTTACCGATAGTCATACTGCGTAAATGATGAAGTCCGTCTGTACTTAGCCCTTCCCCTGTCGTTGTACCAGTCCTGTCTTTGATAATTTTCAGCACTGTAACGTGGCTGGATTCTGGCTTGCTCATGGCCTTGGAGGAACGGTAGTGGCATCCTGTTGTAAGCTTGTCCGAAAGTACTTGCAACATTTTCTCTGTTATAAGAACGATAAACTGGCCGACTGAAGTCAGAGTTATGGCCAAACTGCTCTTCGTAAGAACGGCGGTAGTAAACGGAGCGTTGGACTGCCTCTAAAACATCAATCAATGACATTTAAATAAGGCGTTTGTGACTAAAAGACAAAAAGATTAACGGGCAAATGCTTAGTGCAGTATTCAGACGAGTAAAAGTTTTGAATAATGGGCGTGATTGCAGAAGCAGATGTTTTAGATGTTCAAATTTCCGCATGCTAACGGTCATAGATAAGATAATCAAATAACCATAAATTTAAGGGGCTAATTTTCTTACTAAACTTACTTTTCGAAATAATAGAAACTTTCAGGTATTACTTAAAAATACCGTTAGAGGGATTATAATTAAAATAATAGGTTTTCACCAACAAGCTTCATTGCACCTATCGAATCCCATCAGGGTCATATGATTTATAGTAGAAAATGCTTTGTGCCTCAATTTAATTATTAAGGAGAATATCATAGTGAAATCCATTTACAGCTCATATAGCCACAGATATTGTAGAATAACTCCCGGTTCAAATCAGAATTCCCGTCAAGCAGCAAATTTATTGGCTCCAGATAGAAACAAAAGTTGTCATTTTGAGAACCTTCAATTAACAATGCCAGAGACTTTATATTCACGGTCAGCGTTATAAATTAACGTAGCATTAGCCGTTTACCCAAGCACGAAAATGAGTTCGACGAAATATGTTACGGCTCAGTAAATAGACACAACTGTCTTTCATGAATTATTTAGTTCTACTCTCTCAATTCATGCAACAAGATAAGTTATCATTTAAGAAGAACAAGCAAGGCGAAAATTTGTAGTTAGCACTTTGTCAAACAGTGCTGCGCATCTATAGCTAAGATCGCACTTAATTTACTTTCAACGATAAACACTGTCATACAATATCTGAGACAAGCAACATTACCAGATGATGAATTGCCGGCCTGAAAAGTACTGCTGACATAGCGATCTGAATGGCTACGCTTTAAAGAGCTGGGTCTGCGATCAGATATATGAATGGATGCCCTAAAAACGCTGTTTAGCGTAAATTAAAACTAGACCAACATACCGAAGAAACCGTTTGCCGGAAACATCTAAATGTGCCTGCGGAATGTCACGCGTAAAACCTATCATAGGTCGATACCGACCCCCTCGATCATTGAAATCTTCCGGTTTTAAACATGGTTCTGGATCTCTATAAACACGAAAGTTATGTTGAAAATATAACTCACTAAATCAGAGTTTTCATCCGCATATCAAATAAAATGGCTAACGCCCAGATGAAAGTTCATTCAAATAATATAAACTAATAATCTGAATAACACTGGGATTACTTTAGAAATAGGAAGTAAACCTGCTGAATATCAGCAACGGACTGTACTGAAAATTTAAATCCATCTAGCTATTCTAGTTAAAAATTTTTTTGAGTGACAAAACTCATATTGGTCTAATATCTGTTTTTCAAGTTGATGCCATTTGACGTGTGTACACTGGCTATTTAAATGATGCCTGCCACTTGTCATGTATAAATTTTAAATCATAGTCATCTAACTGATTGTGTAGCACTGATTTTCAATAAAATGTTTCTTTTCAATTCTCCGCTTTATGTCCAAGTCGATTTTTAATCAAAGACTTGCACTGACGGTTTGTCTGACTGTGGAATACTGAATGGTTGTATGAGCCGCCCTTCTTTTGATCAGGCAGTGGAACAATAATGAAATATGACGAAGAGACGGTTTTCAGTTATTTCAAAAATTCATTCGAACTTTTTCTTCTTCAGTATTACTCATTTGATGATAACAGATAGGGCACAAAATTGAAGCTTTCATTCTCAAAGCCAGCGTTCCAACTAAACAACAATGGCAGTTTGAATAGGTATTTACATCAGATCCGTGTTATGATTATAACCTCCAAGCCGGTAATAGGTATACTAAAACGGTTCCTGACTTCTACAGCTTATTAACCATTCAACTATTCCACACAAAGTGCCACCTCTTCTTATGTCCGACAGTTCTAGTCAGATTCATAACTGTGCTACGAACAGTTGACACAGTCATCTACGGATGTTTTTCAGTGAATAATTCTTTGTCCCTATCTTGGCTACATTTGGACGAAACTGCGTCCGTGTGCATCATTCTCAGAATTTGATAAGTATACTTTGTCAGTTAGCAATGCCGAACTAATAATTTACTGTTAGATGTGACGACATTACAACAAACCGTTGGTCACGTTGTTTTATCAGTAACTTGCAGCTTCGTGTTCGAATGAATGTCAGGCGATCAAAATCAGAATTGATTTGCTAAACCCATTCTGCCTATTTTGGTCCTATGACCCGACTTTATGCATAACGGGACCACAATTCTTATCCAGAACTGTTAAAGTGAAGCAAAAACAGCATTAGAGGTCAAAGCACTGAGCTCTTCACCAGCGTCTGGCAATAATTACAGGCACTACTAAAGGCATACACACGATGATCAGTTCAGGACAACACAACAGCAACTGACAAATGCAAAGTGTTGCAGTAGAGTCCGGAGAGAGAAAGTCATGCTATACTATAGAGTTTATATCATTTCTTCGCAAAAAACTTCGCTTAACACTTTGCTGAGCACTGACAAAAGGTTTGAATACAACGTATGCCACATTTAGTAAACGAATTCGACTTGGTCGAACTTCTGCAGCTCTTAATTATCGAAACAAAAATAACGTGCGGTGATACAATCGAAATGCTGAGGGTGAAAATAGGTTAACCATAACATGCAAAAATAGACAGCGCTACTTACATCGCCCCCGGTAATCGAACTGCAGGAAATACGAAGTCCACATCAAACAGAGGATCACGAAAGTGTACACTAAATGCTTGGTTTTATAAAATTATGTCATTAAACGTTCAAACCTTATAACGGTGTTCGACGGAATATTGCTACAGCCAGGAAGAGGGCTCTCAACGGTGCTAAAAACGAATGATAATTCAAAAGAAGAAAGACGCACATATACCTTCCAGTGGAAACCGCAGTTGGATCATAACTAATGTCACCAGATATCAGTGGAAAATCAGCACTGTTAAGTTTCATCCACTGAAAAAAAATAAAGAAATATTAAAGTAGGTAGCAAATATTTACGCTAGCAAGTGTTCAACATGTTAGCGGAATCCTTTTAAAAACGTAAAGACAGTAATGGCAACATACCATATGAAAAATGGCTAATTATCGTCATTCACATACGATCTTACAGACTAAAAGCATACGCTAAACAAACGCTTACAAAAATCACTGACACTCCAAATAGGTGTCGATGAAAATGCTTAGCGCAACAAGAATCAGCTTTGCTAAATTAAAAATAATCAAATATGTTTAGTGAACAAGTTCTACAAGAAAGTTTGACATTTATATTACGTAGAACATGAAACACGCTGGTAATGCTATTAACGGACTGCATGCATTTTAAAATAGCAATATACAAGCAGCAAAGGTGTATATAATAAGGAGTGGTGAAATTCCAATAGAGCAGGTGAAGAAATTATATACAAATCACAAAACAGTCAATTCAGTTCATAGATCAGATCAATCAATAGAGTTAATACCTTGATGTGTTGATTTGAGTGGCAGAGGCTGACAAAAACACTGAAAAGCGGATGCACTCGACTGACGAAAAGGCGATCATGTCCACGAATGTTCCTTTGCTCTAAATGAAGAACATACACAGCAATGAAAAGAATACAGGTGGTCATTATCACCTTCCTCCTTCGTAAGCATAGGATAGACACTTTTAAGGGTCTGCTGAAGGCGGTCGGGATCAACGAACGGTAAAAGTGCGACTCCTTGCCAAGCAAATTTCTTGCCGTTCAGGTCAACTTTGAAATCTTCAGGATAAAAGTCGATTATTGGAGAATCCTTGGAAACAAAATTTCAAGACAGCAACGTTAAACTACGAGTCATATACCAAAAGAGTGAACCCGTGGTGTAATTGAAACGTAACACTGAATAACACACAGAAAATAAATATAAGAAATTGACACAAAAATAAAGGGGAAAACTTCACACTGGTTTATAAGCCTTAGAAAAATTAGGCAATCGAAAACATAAACACACATTTGAACTAACAACCATTTGATACACAAATCAGCTTGCGTCAGAGTAAACTGCGTTAAGATGAGACCTTTCATTGTTAACACCGGTCTTCGCAAAAGCTGCGTTCTGTTTCCTCTCCTGTCTGTGTTGCATATGGATAGAATAGTCAGGAGCAGCCAAAACGTTGAGTGTGTCAGTGTAGGAGATGCCGAGACGAGATGGCAGCTGTCTGCAGACGACCTTGTTTCATTGGCATCCTCTGAAACTGATCTAGAGGGCTCGCTGGGAAAGCTCGCAGCACAGTGCGACATAGTCGGATGAGTGTGAACATATCTAAAACGAAAAGACCAGTGCTTTCTCGTCCTACTGCCCGTTGTTCTCTTCAGATTAAGGGAGAGGCAGTGGAGCAGGTGGAGAAATTCAAGTACCTCGGAATCGTAATTACTAGTGATGGAGAATTGGAGGAAGAGATCGACCGGGTAATTGGAGTAGCCAGTGGCTTCCTGCGTAGACCTGCCCGAACTGTTGTGACTAAAGCAAAGCTGAGTGTGAAAAGTAAGCTCTTGGTATTCAAGTAGATCTTCATCTTCATACTCACCTATGGTCAGGAGTCGTGGACCATGACTGAAAAACTTCGATCCCGGGTACCGTACTTACATGACTTAATCGACTTCACAAAGGGGTTACGGCATCCAAACACTTCTTGCAACCGTCTGCATTGTATTTTGCCCCAGGCAATGTAGGAAATGTTTGCGAGCTAATCACTGTGCCATGTTTGTTTCGAAGTTTCGGTTGGTGCTGTCCATCTGCGAATCAGACAGTTTGTTTCTTATTACTATCCAACCATGAAGTGGTCGGTCAGCCTCTTTGTTTTTACCAGGAGTAGTTCAGCCCTCTAAGAATCAGTCGCTTGTCGCACAATCCATATAACGTAACGGGCGTCAAGATGGATGGAGAATCACTTCGCGATCAAAGTTTATAACTATCGGTCATCACCGCATCCGCGCAGCAGTTGAACAGCACCAGCACCACCGGTGACCAATCACTGTCGTACTCGGCTCTCAATCAGAAGGCAGTCTGAAACCGCTGAACGTGATCGTACCACTGCCGGAGTCCTGGAACAGATGCCTTTTTAAGACGCTAACAACTTTGTCTGGCATTTCTTAACAGCTCGTACAGGGCGAATCGAAAGCTGTGTCAAAGTCGACAAACCCGATGAACAGCAGTTTATATCATTAGTTGTGTCTCCAGCAAAAGTCGCAATGTTAGACAGTGGTCGATCGTAGATCAAGCCGGACGGAAACGTCTCTTTTCTTCTCTGGTAATATTCTCTGTGCAGGGCTGAATTCTGATGACGAAAATTCTTTCAGTGACCTTAAGCGCGTCGTAGAGAAGACTGATTCCTATGTAATTTCGGACATCCCACATAGCAACTTTTTTGTTTCGAAATAATCACTGCTGGATGAGAAAGGAGGAGGGTTGGAGACCGTGGCAAGTATCCGTAAAATTCAGCCACCTGCCACTCATGGT